AGATGAATCAACAAAAAATAGTAATTTTCTGAATTCAATTTTCACAATTTATATAAGAACTGTCAATGAAATAGCAAATTTAGATAATCAAAACTAAATTAATATGAATTCAAATTAGTATTCTACTTTAGTTGTACGATATATGAGTTATTTTTTTAATAAATTGTTTGAATTGAAAACAAAAATCCTGATGAAACCATGAGATTTACTACTTTACTATTTTTTTTAAACAGTAAATCTTGAAAATGTATAATAAATTTTATTCTATATAGAATTAAATAAGCTATATTATTAGATGATTTTCTATTCTTTAATAACATATACAAAAAAATATATAATTTAAATGAATCAACAAAAAATAGTAATTTTCTAAATTGAAATTTTAAAATTTTATTAAAAAATAGCAAATTTAGAAAATCAAAGCTAATTTAATATGAATTATAATTGTTATACTACTTTAGTTGTATGATTTATGAGTTTTTTTTTAATAAATTGTTTGAATTGAAAATAAAAATCCTGATGAAGAAATTAACTTTATGTTTTTACGATTTGCTTTTTAAACTAACAAATTCTATATAAACCTTATACCTTATAAAATCCAATGAACTATATTATTAGATGATACTGTATTCTATATACCAAAAAAAAATTAGATGAATCAACAAAAAATATTAATTTTATACTTTTATTGATAATTTTAGCAAATATTAAAAATGCATATCAAAACTAATATAATATGAATTCAAATGAGTAAATAGCTTTAATTGTGAGATTTTTATGAGTCACTTTATAATGAATTTAATATAAAAAAAAATCTAAAACTGCTACATTTTTTAGGAATTTATCAAAAACTGCTAATAAAATACTCAATATTAAATATCAACGCTAATATAATTATAATTCTAATTAATATTTTGCTATAAATGTACAATTTTTATGTTTTTTTTTTAATTGAATTAAAATTGAACTTTTTTGTACGTATTTACTGAAAACCCGGCTCCGTGATTCCAAATAAAATCATTAATTTTTAAATTCCGTTTTGTCTTTTGATGATAAAACTGTTGGAAGCAACTAATGTAAATTGAAGTATTTTTAACAATAGGTAATGTTGAATAATCAGAAAAAGCAAAAAATATGTTTTTTTTGTGATTTGAATAAAACAAAAATTTTGAAAAAAAATGGACTGGAAAGGGTTTAAAATATTGCATTTAATACAAATTGATATTAAATAGAGTAAAAAAATTGATAACATTATATTCTATACTTCAATAATAATATAATATCTAATATAATAAAAAAAGTGACTAATGTGGAAATTTATTTTAAAAAAATGTGATTGAAATTAATAAGATAATTATTTGGACACCTGCAAGAATCACGATTGGATTCT